CGTGAACATTTGGGCAGCGTTATGCAAATCTTCCCACATTGTGACGTAGACATGTGGGGGCGTGTTTAAACAAGGCGTTTTAGGAGGGAGTGGACGAGTCTTAACTTTGAAAAAGAATATCTCTTTGGGTTTGAGACTTTAGTCTTTGCAACTTTAAGGATCTAATCTATGCACGAACAGCTTGTAACACTCCAAAGAGAAAGGAAAACTTGAAATCGCATCATATGACCCCTTTAACTTAGCTCTGATGCATTTGTCCAATGTCCAAATAGAATTTCAGAGAGGCTTCTGCTTTTTGAAATCCAATTTGCTGTATTCCCACTTGATTTTAAACTGACTCGGCTCTTTCCAAACCCTTAAAATGAATCTAACGAAGTCTTATCTTCAAATGCTCCTCTTTCTCTAGTGAGTAGGTTCCCTTAGGCCTACTAACAGATGGAAAATTGGATAATGTAGAGAATAAAACATTAAAAGTTGATAGACTTGATATCATACTTTTCACACATGTACAGAATCAACGGTCAAACCGATTACTGGTATTAGTACTGACTAGACGGTGGTGCAATCGCCTACACAATAATGTGTAAACAATAATTTCCTATTATGGAAAATAAGTAGAGAAAAACAGTGAACTGTAAATAGAGAAAGCGGTTACAATAATAACCCAAGTCAAACCACCTTTGCGTCATAGACCAGCAAAATATAACAAAAAACCCAAAATACACTTTGAGTGGTGATTTAGGCCAGGTGTGGAGCATACTGTGATGCCTAGACAAAATCTAGACAAACTAAACCATGAACAAAACTAAAATAAACCCCAGACACAGACGTCATTAAACACAGGTTCACTTGTGCCATGGTGCCAACCACAATGTGTTTTAATAGTTGAATTATTAGTTGCCGAGAGCATGAAACTAGGTCCAGAAACAAATCCAGAACCACAGGATCAAAAAATAGTGTACGCAACAGTATCTGTCCTGTCTTTGGTAAATTATTGATGTTCCAGGTTTGGTGCATTTGTCGTTGGCTTACATAACTACTGGCAGTGGCGTGCATGAGCACACTCGACATGGGTTATGTGCACACAAAAACACATGTGCTACATGCTTGAAGCTGTCTATCCAGGCCATCTTACATATGTTTGTTGTCACACAAATTATGATTATTCTAATGTAAATGTATGACACATCATCACTATTTTTCATTTATACAAGAAACCAGTTTGTGGGGCTGTAATATCACTGATTTCCGACCTTTTCAAATATTAAAGATTTAACAATGTTTTATGCAGTGAGGGTGAGGTGGAGTAACAGCAATCTGGGACATAAGTTAATATGGTTCCTTAAGCACAAAAAATGTCTCCTGTTATGCTGATGCACCCTATTACTATCCTTTCAGCTAATGTAGAATATTTATGCATGTATTCCTGTTATTGTATTTGTATTTGTATTGTGTTATTGCATTCGTATAGCTCAAACAGTAACACATTACCGCTCCCAATCCCAAGCTTACGGGTTTGATTCTCAGGAAGTGGATGAACTGATAAAATGTATACCTTGATTTCAAAAGTGTCTGCCAAATACATTAATGTAAGTCTTTTCCAGTTGCCCTTAGTACTGATGGTTGTGTCGTTCCCTGCAGAACCGACTCCAGGGCGCCCCCAGCCTGCTGATGCTGGCACTGCAACAGCAGCTCAGTGAGTTGAGATTGGATACAGGACTCACATGTGAGCAGAATAATGAGGAGGATTTGGACAGTCCCAATGTGTCCAGCTCAGGTACTCCACAACCCTATATATCATTTATTCCTCATAGTGTTCTGCAAAACTGTTGGACAATACTGATATCAGATACTTATTTTTTTGTTTTAGCTGAAAATATAATAGATAAGATGGCCAATATTAAATATATAGGCTGCTATATTTTGTTTTGTGTTCTTACTAAAGCTCTGATCTAGAGTTTATATGCTTCAACAGGCATAAGAACATATAAAAGTAGAAATAAATTTTTAAAAAAAACATAAAAACAGTAGAACTGTTAGTATTGGAACTAAAGTATTTTTGTAACCTGGTACAAAAAAAAGAGTATATTCATTTATAAAAATCTAAATTTTATCTGCTTCCAGCACCAGGATGATACTGATCATTTACAGATTTAGTCAGAGATATATTGTGCACACCTAGTTATGCAATGATCTGGCGTTTGTGTTAGGAAATGTGTTGCCATCTTGTAAAGTTATTTAGCGATATTTGGCAAATTGATTACGGAAACATACAGTTCATCCAGATATTGTGAATAAAACAATGAAAGCTAATAATTATTAAATGAAAATAAGATTTCGATTTATCTTGATCCCTCAGGGTTTTATGAGCAAAGTGAAAGTCTGTCTCCTCCACTGCGTTCCTGTTCCTCACCAAACCTCAATGTCTCCTGTCACAGGCCCAGATCTGTGGGTGAGTGTTTCCTTTAATCATATTTTACACCAATTTATTTTTTTTTTTTCAAATCGTGGTCTTTCTTTCTCTCACAGTATAAAAGTGCCTGCAATAAAATGTGGGCCAGGGTTGCCAGGTCTGGTAATCGAAACACCCCAGTGGCCAATCAAAAATAGCCCAAAACTAGCCTATCCCAAAAATCAAAATTCAAAATATACCAGTTCCCTCCCTAAAATACATATTTTACAGCCAGTGTTATCACTATATAGTAGTAATCATAAACATATCCTGTTTTCATAAAGAAGCTCTTAGGAGCTCAAAGGCTCCCTACCAGTGCCCCTCTCTCACAAAACTCATCATCTGGCACAATTGTATCATTGGTAGAATATAAAATGGGTAAAATATTTAAATACAAGCCTTTCAGGCAAATAAAATGTATGTAATATGTCAAACCTTTAACCCTAGGGGAAACAATCCACTCGCAGCAACAGTTTAAAAGTACCCCAATTCCACTGGAAAACTGCAGACTTGGCAACCCTGATATAGCCCTATAGCTGGCTTTGAAGAAGGCAATCCTTTGCAAGGGCATCATCATATCTGAGCATCCTTGATATCAGAAATTTTGTTGTTAAGAAATAGTTTTATTTCTCATAAATTGTGTATTTCTCACCTGCTGACAGATGCCTACATGCTGGACTGGCAGGGTCATATGGAGCCCACAGTACATGCCACCCTGCCCCGCTCTTTTTCTGCCCCGTACCCCCCACTGGAGGGTATTGCCGAGGGAACAGAGGAGGAAGAAGAAGATGAAGAAAGCCCTCAGTGGGTTACAGATCAGATAGCTGATGGGAATGAAAGCCTTACGCCAGAGATGAGCCTCAATTCTGATGCTGAGGCAGATTCTGCATTGAAGATAGATGATGGCCCAACGGAAGAAGACATCCAGCAGGCTATGCGTGTGGAGATGTACATCCTGGGACTACTGCAGCGACGACACCTCAGATCTACAGCAGAACTCAACTCTGATCCCGATCAGTGGCATGAATTACACACATACCCACCTAGTTACCCACAACTTGACCAATCGCAGTGGCAGGAATGGGCAACTCTCTCTGAGGAAGAGAATGAGCGTGAATCCCAAGATGGATATTACATGAACCTTCCCAATGCCCAAGTTGGACCAACCTCCCTAAGCAGTGAGGAGCCAGAATCCTCCTTGGAAATGGATCAGTATGGAATCGAAGAAGTCTACACTAGCAGAAACGACTCCCCTCGGCATCAACCGGTTTATATCGATCGGCGTCCCACAATGTCAGACACCATGAAACCCGACATTCACACATGCTGCAATCACACCTACGTACCTACGTTGTCAACTCCTGAGTCCCGTGAGCAACACCAGCCCATTCCATCCCAAAAGTGGACCCTTCTTCAGTCCCTAGCCAGAAGGAGTCCAGAGAAAAGGTGGACAACTCTAGGAGAGAGACAAACCAAGTCGACCATCTGCTCTCGGTCAGAGGAC